GTTGGCAGAGAGGACTTGGGGCCGTGGCAGGAGGGGCTGGGCGTAGGTGTGGAGGATGGGCCAAGACCTGCCCCTATACCACCAAAGCCTCGTGGTCCACAGTTCCTTTCAAGGTGCATGAATTTATGCACTAGGGCCCCTAGTATTAAATATATATATATTACACACACATATACATATACATATATGTGCTTAATATATAAATAAATACTTGAAATGTTGCTGAGGGTTTTTAACGAGACAAATTAATTGATAAAATTTACTATAATACTTGAATTCATTATACATACTATTGAAGTAGCAGTCTAATTTAAAAAAATATATATTTTATTGACTTTTTTACAGAGAGGAAGAGAGAGGGATAGAGTTAGAAACATCAATGAGAGAGAAACATCAATCAGCTGCTACCTGTACACCCCCTACTGGGGATGTGCCTGCAACCAAGGTACATGCCCTTGACCGGAATCGAACCTGGGACCTTTTGGTCTGCAGGCTGATGCTCTATTCACTGAGACAAACCAGTTTTGGTGCAGTCTAATTTTTAATGACAGAAGCTATTTCTCTCATAATTTATGCTAAATTAAGAAGACCCTTAATTAATTTAGGAAATAAAGCATCTGGATGTTTCTCCCTTCCCTTCATTCCCCAGTCTGTCAATAAATTGAGAGAGGAAAGTAATAGATAATAATACATGTTATAATTCTTAAACATTTTTCTTTTGATTTGCCTTGAAATATTTAATTTCTATTATATTACTAGAAGCCCTGTGCATGAGATTTGTGCACTGGGGGTGGGGGTGGTGGAACCTCAGCCCGACCTGTGCCCTCTTACAGTCCGGGGATCCCTTGGCGGACATCCCTCTTGCAGTCCGGGGCTCTCACAGTCCAGGATCCCTTGCTCCTTACCACCTGCCTACAGCAGAGGCGGGAGAGGCTCCTGCCACCGCTGCTGTGCTTGCTAGTCGTGAGCCTGGCTTCTGGCTGAGTGGCACTCCACATTTGGGAGTGCTCTGACCACCTGGGGACAGCTCCTGAGTTGAGTGTCTGCCCCCTGGTGGTCAGTGCACGTCATAGCAACTGGTCATTCCACCATTCAGTTGATTTGCATATTACACTTTTATTATATAGGACTAGAGGCCTGGTACACAAAACTCGTGCATAGGGAGGGTCCGCTCAGCCCAGCCTGCATCCTCTCCAGTCCGGGACCAAGGCAGGTGCCAGCAGGGGGCCCCCACCATCACCCCACAGATCGGTCCTGATTGCCGGCTAAGGGACCCTACCTGTGCGCTGGTTTCATCTATAAATACTTAAGTGTGTCTTTCTAAAAGGTAAGGAGTTTTTATATAAACATAATACCATTATTATCCCTAAATTGGTGATAATTTATAATATCGGTAATATCTAGTGTATAGGTTTCTGTGATTGCCTCATAATATTTGTGTTTATATTTGGTTTATTCAAATAATTCAGAAAAGTTTCACACGTTGTATGCAGTTATTGCTGTTTCTTCAGACTTTTTTTTTAAATTTATAATTCCCTTTATATTTTTATCCCAGTATATGTATTGAAAAAAACAGATTGTTTGTCAAGTAGAGTTTCCCAAAGTCCAGATTTTTCTGTTTACATCCTTATGATGCTATTTAATATGTTCCTCTCTCCTCTATATTTCCTATGAATGATGAAGACTTAGACATGTGATTGTATTGGGGTCCCCCCCCCCCCCCGCAAGGGGGGCAAGAATGCTTCATGAATGTTGGGGTTATTCATTTCTTGTTTTATCACATAATCTTCATAGTTTGACTTTCTCCCTTTTTGAGATAAAAGTGTTATTCAGGTACTGTCATTCTGATACATCAGTTATACTAGTAAAGCTCTCTTAGAATTTTAATAGCTCTTGATAGTTATTGCCTAGACACATTATTTCATGAACTCATGCCTTTAAAAATGTTTTGTTTCACTTCTTTACAGATATTATCCTTTCTGATGCTCACATGACCCCATTTTTGGTTAGTGGGAGTCCCTTAGGCTCTACTTCAGTAGTCTTGTATAGATTTCTTGCTTCCTTGTTTCCTTGTAGGACAAGATGTTCCAGGGACCTTCTGTCCATTACAGCCCTGGGACTGGAATCAGCCATTTCTCCAAGGAGCCCTTGTTTTAATTCTTTGTCTTTTCTTTTCTTTTCTTTTCTTTCTTTCTTTCTTTCTTTCTTTCTTTTTTTTTTTTTTTTTAATGGTTGGAAATGGTATTACTCTGAGCACAAGGGGTACTCATTGCTCCTGAGTTGATTACTATTGCTACACCTTTTCAGTGGATAAAGTGGAATTATTTTTTTTTAAATATATTTTTATTGATCTTTTACAGAGTGGAAGGTAGAGGGATAGAAAGTTAGAAACATCCATGAGAGAGAGACATCGATCAGCTGCCTCCTGCACACCCCGCACTGGGGATGTGCCCGAAAACAAGACACATGCCCTTGACCGGAATCGAACCTGGGACCTTTTAGTCGGCAGGCCAATGCTCTATCCATTAAGCCAAACCGGTTTCAGCTGGAATTATTTTTTTAATAGAATTTCTTTTCTGATATTTCTGATTAAATTTAGGACTTCAGAGTTTTAATGTCTTTGGTTTTATGTTTGTCTCTCTTATATGCTAAAAATCTTAGTTCTGAATGACATTAACATAATAAGTTATTTGCTAAATCTTAGATGTAATAGTTTCAGAATAGCAATATCAGCATTACTACTAATAGGATTACTGAAAATAGTTCATGAGCTTTTTCATTTTCTTTGTTTATAAAATATGTTCCACTAGGGATATACAATTTTATTACTGTTTTAAGTCATTTGCTATAGCTTTTTTTTTCTATGTGGTTAAGCAACCATATCAATACACAGTTAGGTTCATTTGCTTTATTTTTAGAAATTCTTTTTTAAAATTTAATTTTGTTTTATTATTTACATGGTTCCAAGCTAAAATTTAAATCTGCAAGACAAGGTTAGTTTGAAAAAGTCTAGCGTCTAGCTTTCTTGTCTGTCCCCTTCCCCTCCCTCTCCCCCCCCTCCCCCCCCTCCTCCTCTTCCTTCTTCTTCTTCTCCCCCCCCCCCCCTCTCTCTCTCTCGTTAATCCTCACCAAGGATATTTTTCCCATTGATTTTTTAAAATTTCTTTATTGATTAAGGTATCACATATTTGTCCTCAACCCCCCATTCCACCCCCCACCCCCCACACATGCCTCCACTCCCCTATTGTCCTTGACCACTGGTTAAGCACAGATAGTGGAAGGGAGAGAGGGAGAGAGAGACACTTCTATTGGTTGCCTCCCGTACCCTGGGAGCTGCACAGGTCAAACCTGCAACCCAGGTATGTGCTCTTGACTGGGAAATCGAACCCTTTCCCCTTCGGTGTATGGGCCAATGCCCTGTTCACTGAGATACACCAGCCAGGGCTGAACACTTTTTATTAAGAATATGAGAGAGTCAAAATTTTCAGCTTAATGAATTGATTTTTTTAATAGTTAATGAATAAATTTAGAGCTATATATCTTGAATTTAAACTATGATTCAGTGTTTCACCCCAGAATGAAAACATTGTGGGTAGAGGCACCGCTCAGAAGTGCTGTCCTGTATTATATGCATTAACTATTGTAGGAAGGAAAAAAATTGGAAAGACGTTTGGTTCAGATAGAAGAAGACCTTGATTTGTCAGCTAATAAGTTTGGACTTTATTCTGTAGACTAGGGGTGTCGAACTCAATCAGAGAAGGGGCCAAAATCTAAAATCCGGCCGAATGGTTTACTGAACAGTCATAAACTGTCATTGTGATGGAAACGCAGCGGAGTGCAGTGATGGCAGCGCGGTGCGGGCCACATTGCAAGGCCTGGTGGGACGGATTTGGCCCGCGGGCCTTGTGTTTGACACATGTGCTGTAGACAGTGGGAAATCAATGAAAGATTTTAGATTCTTCAGGTAGGAAATTTTAAGTGGTATACTTTTTAGCTTTTATGTGAATTCTGTGATGTAATTGAGTACTCATGGGAAATATTTTTTGCTTATGGAGAAACTGAAGCATACATGTTATTGTTAGTGGCTGACTATGATGACAAATGTTTATTGAGGCCATACTGTGTGCCAGCATAGTATGGTAAGTATTTTATGTGGCTTGTCTCCCTTAATCCTCACAGCAACCTGGAGAAGGGAGGAAATATTGTTATCCCCATTTTCATCCAATCAGAAGAGAAATTTAAGGCTTAGAGAAATGTCATACATTATCCTGGATGAGATCTTAGGACAACAAAGGACATTATTGATATAGTCAGTGAAATTTGATTGGGGCCTATTGATTAGATGGTAATATTGATCAACATTAACTTTCTGATTTTGATGATGAATTTGTGGTTAAAGAGGAGATTGTCCTTGCACTTAGGATATATACAGTGTGATATGAAGGGATAATGGGCATCATGTCTGAAACTTATTCTTAAATGGTTCCGAAATGTTAACAGTTTCATAATCTTTGGGAAAGGCATATAATAATAGCTCTGCAGCTCTTATTAAATTGGAAATGATTTCAAAATAAATTAAAAAAAACAAGAGAAAACACTGACTCATTCAAAGTCGTATAGCCAGTATGAAGCAGAACAGAACAGACAGTTGAATTTAGGTCTGTCTCATCCTATATATATGCATTTCACTGCCTATTCTGTTTATTTTAACTAGTGTCACATGATAGCAAAGTTTAAAATATCAGGCAAAATTTTACTTATTTCTCGTTGTTACTTGTGACTTGCTTTAACACTATTAGCTATCCATTTCAAGTTTGCCTTTTGTAGTATTTGTACTCCCAGGTCACTTAATTAAATGATTGTAATTATTTTTCTTTGCTACTTCTCTATTGTAAGTTTATACTTCACAATGGACCATTAAATACTTATAGTTATACATTGTTATTTAATTTTAAAGACACTATCTCAGAATAATTACCTCCTTTTTGTTTTAACAATAGGTTATCTTATGATGAAGCTTTTACTATGGCTAATGACCCCTTGGAAGGCTTCCATGAAGTAAACCTTGCTTCACCTACTTCTCCGGACCTTCTGGGCGTGTATGAAGCAGGAGCTCTAGAACAGACTACCTCACCAGGTGTCATCTACCGGCCTCTCCCGTCATCTTTATGCTCTGCCCCTATCCAGGCTAATGCCTTAGATGTCTCCGACCTTCCTACACAGCCTGTATATTCGTCCCCCAGACGTTTAAATTGTACGGAAATATCTGGTATCAGGTAGGAGATCATCAAGATGCTTATTTTGGATTATTGTGTTAAACAAATGGACAGTTTACTTGGTTGCCTTATTTTAAGTTTTAATGTTTTCAAAAATTTGAATCATATAAGCTTGTCATGAAGAGCAATACCTGTTAATACTCGACAGCAGGGGTCAGCAAACTATGGAAAGAGCCAGTTAGTCAATATTTTAGGCTTTGTGGGCTATCCATTTTCTATTGTAACTATTCAACTCTGCTGTTAAAGTACAAAAGTGGCCATAGGCAGTATGTAAACGAATAAGCTCCAGTAAGACTTTATATTTGGGCATCAAGTATTGAATTTCATACAGTATTCTTGTGCCACAAAATATTTTGACTTTTCTCAACCATTTGAAAATATAAAAATAATTTTTGATTTGTGTGCCTTATGAAAACAGGCAGCAGGCTGGATTTATCCTGTTTTGTTTGCCAACCCTTGTTCAGAGTAGCAGTATCCAATAGAACTTTCTGTGATGAAGAAAATGTTCTACTTCTGTGCTAATATAATAGCCATTAGCCACATGTAGGTATTAGGATTTAGAATATGCTAGCTTTGACCAAGGACATGGTATTAATTAATATAGTGGCTACCAAATTGGATAGACCAGTGTGTTTATGACCTGAGCGTTTCTAGACTTGTGTTTATGCCAGATATATTTAAGCACATGCTGATGTGTCCTGCACTCTCCTTTACAGCATCCATGTTACAGACCCAGCACCTTGTTCTACCTCTGGAGTAACAGCGGGGTTCACTACATTACCTACAAGAAAGGACAACTGTAGTGCAGAGAGGGAGTTTTTGCAGGGTGCTACTATAACAGAAGCTTGTGATAGCAGTGATGATATATTCGGGTTGAGTACCGATAGTCTGTCCCGTTTACGAAGCCCATCTGTTTTGGAAGTCAGAGAAAAGGGCTATGAAAGATTGAAAGAAGAACTTGCAAAAGCTCAGAGGGTAAGCAAAAAAGATATTCTTCCATACGTTATATTCAAAATTACCATTTTTCCATGGAGGGGTAACTCAAATGAAATGATGATGGTTCTACAGTTATCCTTCACATGTGCACAGCCTATGCTCCTGTTGGGCAGCATTTAGGAATCTGTGAAATTGATGGTGTAGTAAAGCAATTAATCTGAGAGTTCTCACTGGAAAAATGAGATTCTGAAACTTCCTGTTCTCTGCCTCCCTGCTCCCTGTCTTGCATTATCTGGAATGCAAATTTGGTGGGTTATGTTCCATGGATGAGGTTGTCGCTTCTTAAATGTGCCTGACTTTATGGTCATTTACTTGAAGTCATTCAGTCCAAGTCATTTTGTTTTGAGGAATTGTTTTAGGAATATTACCTTCATCTTTTATCTGGGTTTGAATATTTTTCTGTCTTACCTTGAACATTTTATTTTCTTGGTAATTCTGTTTTCCACTTGGTTGTCTTTAAAATTTCTGCTATTTATTCTCAAACTTGTAGCCATATCATATTTTTTTTCTGAAACTAATTAAATTTCAGAGGGAAATTTATAGCACTAAAAATTTATAATTAGAAAAAATAAAAAATAAAAAATCTTTAATCAACAATTTTTGCTCTCACTTTAAGAATAGCATAAGCTATTTTTTACATTCTTAAAGTGAGAGCAAAACAGAAGAAACAGAAGAAAGGAAATAATAAAAAGCAAAAATCAGAGTAAAAAGCAAAAATAAGAGTAAACAGAAGAAAGGAAATAATAAAAAGCAAAAATCAATGAAATTGACAGCAGAAAAACTAGAGAAAAATGAATGAAACAAAGTGCTTTAAAAAAATCAATAGAATAGATAAACCTTTAGCAGGATTGATTAAAATGAAGATAGAAGAAAGATTATATTCAATTTCAGGAATAAAATAGAATATTACAACAGATCCTGCAGACATCAAAAATACAATAAAGGAATAATATGCACAATTCTATATAAATTTGATAACTTAGGTGAAATGGACCATTTTACATTTAGATAATTGAGAAGATACAACAAACATTTTTATAGGCATAATTTCCAGCATATTACCACATTTCAAAAACAAATATTTCCATCCTTTTCCTATTAGACTTGTCTATTAAGAGCATGATACTGATTTTGTTGTTGTTGTAAATCCTCACTCAGGACATTTTTCCATTGACATTTAGAGAGAGTGGAAAGAAGGGAGGGGGGAGAGAGAGAAACTTCCATGTGAGAGGAAGTTTGGTTGCCTGCTGCATGTGCCTCGACCCACACATGCCCCAATTGGGGTGGGGATCGAACCTGTAACCCAGACCCTTGACTGGGAATTGAACTCAGTGCCCTGCAGTGTATGGGCTTATGCTCTAACCATGAAGCAACACCAGCCAGAGAGATTTGTGTATCCTCAGCTCCTGGCATAATATGGTGCAATGCCTGGGATATAAGTTTCTTTATAAATTCTTTAATGAATGGCTATGGTTAAATAGCAATACAGATATGTTACAACATTTTGGTTACATATATTTTATCAGAAAGAAAAATCAATAGCCTTTTAAGTCTCTTTCCAAAGAAAAGGGGTATGTTGAGGTGTGATTGTACTTGGCTTTTGCCATCTGAGTCTGTTGTCTTAATACATGGTTTTAAGTGAAATTACAGTTTATGCAAAGGTAAACTGTTGAGCATATATATTCATGTTTGAGAATACATTGTGGTTGCTAATTCATCAGAACAGATTGCTAATTTTTTAGCTCAAGTTGTAATTCCTTTTGAAATCTTTAATTTGCTGTATTTAGAAGTACTATTGAGGTAATTGAAATAATAATGACATGTGAATACATGCAAATGGTGAATTTTATTATGAAGGGTACAAGATAGTAGTAATAATTACTTTATTGAATTATGGCAATCTGTGAATCAAAATGAAGTCTCTTTATTCTGATTATTCTTTTAGGAGAGGCCCAATAGTTACCATTTTTCCATCCTTTTTACTTCTGATCTATTTTTGTCTTTGTATTTAAAATATTGTGTTTTTTTTTTTTTCCTTTTTATTCTTTCTAATAATCTCAGCCTTTTAGTTGGTGTGTTTAGACCACTTCCATTTAATGTGATATTGATATGGTATGATTTAAATCTATCATCTTACTATTTGTTTACTTTTTATCATCTCTATTCATTCTTCCGTTTTTTCTGATTTTATGTTTTCTTTTGGATTAATTCCATGTTCATTATGATTTCATCTTGTCTCTTTTGGCTTATTAACTTTAGATGTTGTCCTAATTTAGTAGTTGTTTAAAGTTTATAGTATACATTTTTAACTAACTGCAGTCTACCTTCTAATAATATTATACTACATCTATATACATATATATAAAAGCCAAGCGACTGGGATGACTGTCGTTATGATGTGCACTGCAGCTGGCCAACCTCCCTCGGTCCCTCCCCCTGGCCATCCCCATCTAGCCCCATTCCCCCACCTTATCGGGGCAGGCCAGCTGGGACCCACTGGGCACTGAGCCTCTTAGTATAATATAAAGTCCCTACAAAAGTGTACTTCTGTTTTTCCCCTCCCAGCCTTTGTGCTATTATTGTCATACTTTTACTGTTTAAACTCCACAGATGCATTGTTGTTACTTTTGCATAAACAGTTGATTATTTTTAAGGGGATTTAAATAAATAAGAACCTTTTATATTTACTCATGTAGGTACGATTTTCAGTATTCTTCATTTCTTCATGTAGATCCAGATTTTCATCTTATATCATTGTCTTCCTACTTGAAGGAAATCCTTAACAATTTTGTTACATATGTTTGCTGGTGATAATTATTTTTAGCTACTGTATATCTGAATAGGACTTTTTTTGACCTTTGTTTTTCAAAGATATTTTTACTCAGTAAAGAATTTTAGATTGATGGTCTTTTCTTTTAGTACTTTAAAGATACTGCTCTAATATATTATACTTGTATTTTTTCTCACAGAAGTCAGTTGTTATCCTTATCTTTGTTCCACTGCATAAAATGTGAGACTCTTCTTTATATTGCTACTAGAGGTATGGTGCACAAAATTCATGCACAGGTAGGGTCCATAAGCCTGACTGGCAATCAGGGCTGATTGGGGTCTTCTGGCTGCTGGCCAGGGCCTTTCTTCATTCTGCACCGCCCCCTAGTAGTCAGCACATGTCATAGCAAGCAATTGAACTTCCTTGGGGACACTTTTCATGTTAGCTTTTATATATATATAGAAGCCCAGCGTGTGAAATTGCGTGGCCTCACCCACTCACATGTCTTGCCGCCCTGCCTACCTCTGCTGGTCTTTGGTTGTTATGGTGTTAAGACCACAGGCCTTTTATAATATAGACTAGAGGCCCAGTGCCCAGAATTTGTGCACTCCCCCTGTGGGAGCGCACTGACCACCAGGGGGCAGCTCCTATGTTGAGTGTCTGCCCCCTAGTGGTTAGTGGGCATCATAGCCACTGGTCGTTCTGTCATTCGGTTAATTTGCATATTAACCTTTTATTATATAGGATAAGCAATTTGAGTATGTTATATTGGTATAGTTTTTTTTAGGTTTCTTGTGCTTGGGATTTGTTGAACTTCTTGAACCCATAGGTTAAATTTGATAGAATTTGGGATTTTGGCCATTATTTTCTCAAACTCTCTCCTCTTCTCAGGACTCCTTTTCCACGAACTTTGGATTGTTTAATCCTACCAGACCGCTGTACCGACTTTTCAGTAATTTCCGAATCTGCTGCTATACCTAATTTTTGGTTCTTTGCCTAGTATGTGAAAAAATGCATCACAAACTAAAAATAACCAACCAATCGTGGTCAAACCTCATGGTTAGCCATTGCAAATGTCTGCCCCTATGCATTTGAATTGACTTTGTGTGGTTTGACGTCAAAAAATTCTGAAAATTCCCAATGAAACGAGTGACTGATGAACCAAGCACTTCAACAGGAAAGCGAAGTAGGTATAGGCTTATCACAGTCCAACAGGTGATCGATACTTTGGTTGATTCAGACTCTGAGGAGTCAGAATTTCATTAAGAATACATTTCCAGTTCAAGTGACACAGACAGAGCTTGAGTGGTGAGGAGAATCTTGAACCTTACAGATCTAGAGCTCAATAGATAGTAAGAGAAGGGGGGCGTGTCCCTCAAACACCTGATGGGGGAAATCTAGGTGGTGATGAAGGCTGGATATGGAATTTTGTATCACCAAGTACCGGTACAGATCTGAATTTCAATGAGGATGCAAAAGGCCCAGTGAACATTCCTGGATCTATCACAGAGGAGAGTGAACCGATTGACTTTTTATCCTTGTTTTTGGATGATACTTTCTGGCAAAATTTGACAGAGAAAACCAACCTCTGGGCCCACCAATTGCATATAGCAAAGCCCAACTCATACAATGCCAAAAATTTCAAGGATGCCACAGTGGAAGAAATGAAGTCTTTTCTTGGACTGAGCATCTATATGGAATACTTATGTATAAAGCCCAGCTATCGGATTTATTGGACAAATGAGGGCTCTGACTTTGTTGGATTTACTCCTGAAGTTTGAAATGTTATGGCTCGAGACAGATTCTTGGGCCTTTGGAATTTTTTACACATAATTGATGAGGAAGACACAGATATCAATAAGACAGATAGAATATATAAAGTTAGGCCTTTCTTAGAAAGTTTGCTCCTCAAGTTTCTTCACTTCTATCTGCCAAAGCAACATTTGAGCTTAGATAAGGGGATGATCCCTTCAAAAAAACTGCTTGGCCATCAAGGATAAGCCCACAAAGTGGGGCATCAAGTCTTTCCTTCTCTGTGAAGGTGAGACTGGCTACATTTTGAATGCAGAAATCTACACTGGTGCTGCACCAATGCCTATAAAAGACTTGGATGCAGTCGGAAATACAGTTGTTTGTCTCCTGACCTCATGTGCAATGGAAAATAAATCTCATGTGCTTGTCATGACCCGGTTCTACATCTCTGTAACCC